TCATACTTCAAGGTAGTGATAGCTGCTTTATGACCATTGAAGGTCACATTTCCTTCCCCACTCAGGAGACTGAAGATTCGGATCGACCCATCCTCATACCCAACAGCTAAGTGTAGCCCATCTGGGGAGGGGCACAAGCAAGTAACTTCTTGTTTAAGCCCCTGAAGGATAAGAATCTGAAATTATAAAAATGAAAAACAATGTGAAAGAGTTAAGCATGAAATCAAGGGAATAGCATAAGAATACTCAGGCACAGTAAAATTAAGAGCACCAATAATTCCAAATTACTCTTATGAATAAAAATGAAACTCTACAATCCATTTCAAGTTTTTTAATATAGAAATTAGTATTTGTACTAGGCAATGAAATATTTAAGAAAAAGCTTAATTATTTTCTCCAAAGCCCTACATTGGTGTAATACACATAAAAACTCCCTAGGCAATAAAATAAATTTAATCCCTTTAATGTAAGTCTTGATCCTAGAACAACACTACGTGATTTTCAATAAAGAGTTGCAAATTCCTTTAACTGAGACCCATTTTATAAGAAAACAATCTGCATGGCAATTGAGTACTACAGTGGTTTTCACCACAAAGGACTCTGGGTGGCAACAAGAATCAAAGTAGTAATCTCTTGGGAATCACAAAATGAGTGGACAATATCAAAATGCCTATATTTGGTTTGGCAAAAGTGGTAGGCTTAGGGAATTCAGTCACACAAAGTATTGAAGTCTAGTTTAACAACACTTGGGCCTTATCCACATTAGAAAAACATTCTGCCAACATAGAGTTACCATCCTTTTACATGCCTAATATTTTATAACCAGCTATAAGCATAAGTCGAACTTGAAAAATAGAATTGGTAGAGAAAAAATACATTAGGAATAAATAATTACTACAAATAATGACCTGTAAATATTCCAACAAATAGACATCTAAGAAATAAGTTCCTATTTCTTTCTGGTTTTCAGAATTTAGTGGAGAAGAACACAAAGGAACTTGATGCTTGGCTAGCTAGACCTAAAGGAAAAAGATTTCTCTTCTCTTCTAAGGGCACACACACGCCAAAAAAACTCATGATCAATAAATCAGAGCTCCCCCACTCCTACTACCTCTCCATCCTCAAGTACCAATAAATCAATATCAAACTGGTCATTTTGGGCTCACCTTCTCTCCTTTCCTTAAGTCCCAGATGAAAACGTGTTCACAAGCTGGTACTGCCACATAGCGTCCTTTCTCACCACGAAGTGTCACAAAGACAATATTACCTTTTTGGCTGCCAATGACGCCAAAGACGGCACTAGCAACATAGCGTAGGTACTGCTTGGTGAGCCCCATGTTATGATGTCTGATACCACAGGTGAGGCAATCTGTGCACAGAAACAAAGAAAACTCAGCTCCTTGGGTGCCTTGGTTCTACTAGGTTAGTAAACACCAACTGTTTTTTGTTTTTTGTTTTTGAGACAGAGTCTCACTCTGTCACCCAGGGTGGAGTGCAGTGGCAGGATCTGGGCTCACAGCAGACTCCGCCTCCTAGGTTCAAGCGATTCCCCTGTCTCAGCCTCCCGAGTAGCTGGGACTACAGGCATGTGCCATCACACCTGGCTAATTTTTGTATTTTTTTTTTTAGTAGAGATGGGGTTTCACCATGTTGACCAGGCTGGTCTCGAACGCCTGACCTCAATTGATCCGCCCACCTTGAAGTGCTGGGATTACAGGTGTGAGCCACTGCGCCCAAACAACACCAACTGTTTATCATGTCATTAAAAGCATGTAACTTGTGACTTCTTAATCTTTATTTACTCTGAATAATTCACTGACCTAAAATACCTAGACATCTTCATTTTTTATTCCTGTTGACTCAATATAATCCCTCTTCCTCAAGTTCCAGATTAGTCATATTGTCATCCCCAACTCACGCGTATCTGACATTATAGGCTCAATGCAGCTAATTTACTTCTGCCCATTCAACCAGCATCAAAGCTTTTACACAGAGATTGGTAGTCTGAGACTGAACATATTTTTCAGTGACTATTTATAGAAAACCTACCAATTAGACAGGCACCGTTCTAGACACTGGATATACACTATTAATAAGACAAAATCCCTAACCTCATATTACTTAACCTTCTTGTACAGTGGTTCTCTAACTCTAGTATACATCCAAATTACCTGGAGGGCTTATGAAAACACTGCTAGAAAACACCATCTCATCTCTTCTCCCAGCACCTGTTTCTGATTTCATGAGTCTGGGGTAGGGCCTAGAATTTTTCATTTCTAACAAGTTTCCAAGTGATGCTGCTGTTGCAGTTCTTGGACCATACTTTGAGAACTATTAGTCCATGAAAGTCTGTCCTTCATTTCAAAATCAGAGCAGTCACTTACCCTTGGCATAGAAAATGGGTGAGCAACTTGGCACACTATTTTTGGAAAGATGCCATAATTTCTGCACTTTTATTAAATTCACTGAAAATCCATAATCCACTGGTTATGTATAAAAGGGACAAGAGGTGAATGAAGGAGATAACAGATCAGTCCCATCTGTTCTTTACATGGAAGAGTAAAAAGTATCCCCAAAAAACACCCATGCAACTTAAAACACACAAAAATAAAGAAGTTACAGTCTTTTATGAGGAGCTGTTTCTTTTTGCTATTGTTTTTTGTTTCTTTGGTTGGTTGATTTAACTCTACAGGGTCTTTCTAATTATCAAATGCTGTTTTAGTCTACTTCAACAAAAAAAATTCAATCTCAACTCTCTGATAATATTTTCTGTTAATAATCACTTACTGGCCTCATTGTTTCTCTCACAGGAACCAACATAAAGCCAATTTAAAATCAAGGAAAGATAATGTTAACAGGATAATAATGCTCTCAGCCTAGGCCATTTGATTAATTCCTTCGCAATTCCTCTTATTCCTCCAGACTCTGTAGTTGTTCCTTATGTTTGCCTGTCTTTGGCCATCTACCACCTCCTTCTATAGTATCCTCCTTGGAGAATTCATATAGCATGCCTAGGTCCACAGACTCCCATATGTCTATTTCCAGTCCTGCCCACCTACATGAATGCTAATTATAGAGTTTCCAATATTTACTGAACATCTCCACTTGAATATCTTATAGTTTCACATTTAACATGTCTATAACCAAGCCTGCCTTACTTCTAGTATCCCTCTCTTTTTTTCAGACACTAAGACACAATTTTCCCAGTTACTCAGGCTCAAAACCATTTAATAACCTTTGAATCATTAATAAAAAATATTATTATAGCAGCCAAGATTTAGCGAGTGCTTACGCTATAGTAACTGATAACATTAAATGTATATAACTTAGTAAACATATGCAACTGTTTAATTACATACAGCAATTAAGCAATTAATGAAATGAGTTAACATATGCAAAGCACTTAGAAAACCCTCTAGCACATTGTAAATATAAGTACAAAAAAATTATCCATAAGGACCTGGTGTGGTGGCCCATGTCTGTAATCCCAGCACTTTAGGAGGCCAAAGCCTGGAAGTCAAGAGTTTCAGACCAACATGGGCAACACAGCAAGACCCTCTCTCTACAAAACACTTTTTAAAAAATTAACCAGGCATGGTGATGCACTCGGGAGGCTGAGGCAGAAAGATCACTTGAGTCCAGAAGTTCGAGGTTGCAGTGAGCTATGATCACACCACTGCACTCCAGACTGGGTGACAGTGAGACTCTATCTCTAAAAATAAATAAACAAATTCTCCACAATAACACTACAAGGGAAGTCACTCTTCCTATCTCTATTTTACAGACAAGGAACTCAGACCCAGAGATGGTAAACTGCTAACCCAAAGTCATTTAGCAGCTAAGTGCCAAAGTCAGATCCCAATCCAGCCAGTCTAACTCCAAAATTTCTGCTTTTAACCACTATGCTAAACTGCTTCTATTTGCCTCTTTCTCTGTAGTCAACTCCACCTGACTGTTACTCTGAAACAGGATGCCTTTCCCTCCAGCACTTTCAGTTCCAGCTCTTTATCACTGGGTTACTGCACTGACTTTCCACCCAGCACCTCCGCCTCCATGTTTTTCACTCTTTTCATTTAAAAGTCATAATACTACCGACTAATCTTTTCAAATGAGCTTTCCCATCCTAAAGCCTTGAAAAGGCTGAATCGTTTGCCAGTTTTCAAAAACTCATCCTGTCTAACCTCCGTATTTCTCGAATAAACGTTCCTGTCGGGCTGGCTAGTTTCCTTCCTCGTCCTGCGACCTTGTATTCTTCATAGTATTCGTTTTACTCAGAATAAATGCATTTTCTCCTCTACTTATTTTAATCAACGTTATCCTCTGAGGCCCACTTCTTTTCGAGTAAACCCAATTCTCGCGGCCTTTTTTCATACCCTCGATATTTAAACTACCTCCCAAACAACTTGCACTGTTCACTTTGTTCCACGTGCACAGCTTTCGCCTCCTTTCGGACAGTTCATGACCAAATCTTCTTCCGAGACCCCATCATCTCCGCTTCCTAACCCACAGCTGCCAAAATGATGTTTCCATGATGCACTGAGGGCCTGGACCGTGGTAACAGACCTGCCACACATTCCTAAACGAGTCTTCCGTCATGAGAGAGTGACGGAGGGTTCCACACATCCAACACACGGTCACATCATCCTCAGGCAAGCCCGTGCATACGCACGGTCAGGCAGCTCTGCTCAGCACACGCAACCTCGCCGAGTAGCTGAGGGGCTTCCAAGTACTGCTGTGGGGACGCCCGTAGTTACCTGAGTTCCCCCAGCCCTAGCAACCGGCCCTAAATACGCCCGCCTCGGCTGCTGCTGACATCACGAACGCCTCAGACAGAATCTGCAAAATCGGAGCCGCACAGAAGGCTCTCAGCTCCAAACGTGAACCTCCAGGACTCACCGCAGCCTCCACGAGGCTCCCAGCCGACTGGGCCCGCCCACAAGACCTGCCCCTTCCGGGTACGTTCCGGAAGCCTCTTTCTCCAGAGGTTCCCTTTGCCTTCCAGGAGGAAATGACGAAGAGAGTCGGGCGCTGATTGGCGAGCTCTGGCCGGGAGCGGAAGCCGGTGTTTCGCAGCCGAGAGCATTTGCAGCTGGTCACTCCAGCCTCCTGGGACTTTGACTCGCCCTACTCGGTGCGCTCCTGCCGAGGGTCGTCGGAGATGTCGCTCGGCCGCCTTCTACCAGGAGCCTGATCCGTCCCGCCCGCCGCCCGGATGGGACCGCCGGAATGCTGTGAGAGGCGGGGCGGAGACCGGGAGGGAAGGCGGGGCGGAGAGGGCCGGGGGCGCGGCCCGAGGCGCACGGGACCCGGCCCTGGTCGGGATTGCAGGCTGAGGTTTTAGTTCTGTCACTTCTCTGGAAGATGAGGCTGGCACCACTTCCTCGCCTGTTGGTTAGGTTCTCGCCCGAGGCGTTGTCGGGGACGCCGTGTTGACGAGGAGTGAAGGGGTAGGCAGTCGGCGGGCACTAGGGACAGTGGTGCCCTAGCCAAGAAGGCGCGCGCCCTAGGGTGCAAGTGTATAGGGCCGGCGGGAGCCCTTGCTGGTTGTAGCCCCAAAGACAAGTCCATGTTGCCGCTCCTGTGGACTGGACATTCCACGAACCGAGAGCACCTCGGGTGAGGGGTAGGTAGACGCTGAGCCCAGGATGGTGCGTTGTCTAGGTCCCCGCAATCCCTGGAGTGACACTGGCCTGGCTTTGTGTTTCCGCTCTCTGGCCGCTTGAGGGGGAAGTGACCAAGGCTGACTCCTCCTTGTTTGCTCACTGAGATTTAAGTGCTCTGTCACCAAGTGGGAATTAGCTGTTCTCTCTTGCATTTCTACTACTTTATTCTTGAGCTGCATAGAAGTGTTTAGAAATGAGTTCTGATGTCTAGAGCTGTGCAAAATTAAAGCTAACATAGCGGTACAAAAGAGGATCTTACCAGCGCTTCTTGAACAAGGTATCTAAAGCCAGCCTAGAAATTAGACCTTTGTCTACATAATCTGATGTTGTTCAGAGTTTCTTGAGCTTAAGGCATGTTCAGCTAATCTTTCGTATTCAAGAAAATTGCAATAGCAAAGAATGCGTATGATGAGACTGTGGACAGCTGTAGCAGCATAGGAGTTTTGAAACAAGATTGCCGTGTATTGGATGAATGACAAGGGAAGAAATTGTGGCCACAAACTATTATTTTAATAAGTTGGGTGGGAAAGGGAGCATTTGAGTGGGTGTGTATGGTTAATATCCCTGACAGGTGCTGTGCATTATATTAGTATGGGGGAAAGCGTGTGCTTCAATGGAAAACTGCATAGTTTCGAGTCTATCTTACCCCTTGGAGTAGCTAATTCTAAAAAAGCCATTTTTCAGTTACGTAAACTAGGTAACTGACATCAATGCTAGATAATTTTTGTCAAGACATGCGAATTCGCTCTCTGAGAGGTTCAGTGGAAGTTTTGCCTCCTTTTGCATGTTTATTTCAATATTCCTGCTCTAAGGTGTCTAATTCTGGGATTTTCTTTATCTTCTGCCTGGTTCCCTTTTGAGTTAAATAAAATCTTGAACACGGGTTTGGTTTTATATTTGAAGGAGTCATGATTTTACCTTTTCTTTAAAAATTATATTAATATTATTAAATATTATGGGATGGGACAACCACAGATGGAAAAAAAAATGATTTTAATAAGAGTTGGTGTCAGAGCAACTGTGAGTGGTAAGATAATGCATCTTATAAAATTCCCTATACAGTGTTTCAAGGATATAACTCTACCTCCTTATTTAAGTTTCAAAATGCTCAATATATCAATACTTACAGTTAAAACATAGTGCAGTTCATTTAATATGAAGGGGTACTACTAATTCACTGTGAGGATATGTTCTTTGGGTGCTTTTGAGTGATGATGTTAAATTTGACCCAAGCCATTGACAAGCTTAGGAATGTTCTTGTTATACTGTGTTTATTGTTGACATACTTGACTACTTCAGTTAGTCTTCCAATCTGAGAATCTTTTTTAAAAACTGTGATTCTCACTGATGGCATAAAATGATTCTTAAGTATGGTGTTGGATGGTGGCATAGAATGATTCTTAAGTATGGTATGCACACAAATCTTAGTGTACTCTGAACTGTTAAATATTGAAATACAAAGTCATAAAGAATGGTAAACCTGGGAATTAATGGCCGTCAAGTGCATGTACCAGCTGTCTTTGTACTGTTGTTGTCCAGGCTGGTCTGATCAATGTAAGCATTTTGAAAGACAGGTAAACAGGTCAAAAGTTACCATTTTTCATTCTTAAATGATATCATTTTCTTTTTATCCAGACAAAAAGTTTTTTTTGAGATGGTGATCCAAGATATTATGCCCAATTTTTCCCAGTTTTGAACAATAAAATCTGATCTCTCTAGCCAGTCCAGTTATTCATATTAAGCAGTATTTAAAGGACTTCTTAAACTAAAAGATGACAGGATTTGAGAAAGAAAAAAAAAAACAAAAGTTGCAGTGTAATGAGAGCTGTTTACTCTGCGCCGTTTGAATTATAAAGGATACATAGTGGGTTATCTTTGTCTTTAGGTCCTCTTCACTAAAGTACTGAAAAGCATATGGCTATGGAAATAGATCTGATTCATTATGGAATCTTCTGTTTGTCCCATGTAGGCTTTTTGATCCTTGGAAATTAATGTCTTGCTTCAAGAACCTTTTTTGTTTTTTTAAACTAGGGCTTAGTGTTTGTTTATGAATTTATTCAAAGTACAGAGCTGATCAACTGATTTTCAGTGGACAGTCTTGCTCTCCTTTAATGTTATCAAAAATTCTGGCTGTGGCTATAGATTACTGGGTATAGAAGGCTTCTCCTCCCTTCATCACTTGAGCAATCTGTTTGCATTCTATCACTGAGACTGTAATTCAAATTTATTTACAAATCTGCTTGTATGAGCTCATACACAAACATTTTGGGGAGTGAAAGGATCTGTATCTTTTATGTGATTCTCAAAGGAGCCTGTGACCTTGAGAATGTTAAAAACCACTGTTCTCTCAGGGATCAGGTTTTCCTGCCTAGCTTGGGTTTGTGGCTCCATTTACTGTATTACTAAGGTGTGTGTGTGTTTAGGGGAGGGAGAGATTCAAACCTCTTTTTGGTGAGAAACATCAATGTTTGTTTAGAGATGGAGTTGAAAAAGAATTCAACCTTTGCTAAATACTATGACACTTCATAAAATGCCATTAAATTTTGTCCTAAATTAAGAGCTATGAGCATTACTTTTACTTATTTAACATCCAAATCTTGTGAGTCACAATTACTTAAAAGCTGGGAAAAGGATCCAACAAACTCTACTGACCAGGTCTGATCAGGGATATAGGAGATATAGGGATATAGATCAGGGTGTACTGTCAAAGACGGTAATAGAGTTTTGAGGAGGAAATGATCAGTAATAAATGTGGATAAAATTGGATTAGTTCTTGGATTTGACATTTGGGAAGTTATTGTTGACCTTGATAAAGCAGTTTTAGCATAGCTATAGAGCGGAAGCAAAACTGCAGTAGATTGAGCAAATGTATGAAGAGAAAACAGAGCTACAAAACAAATTACTCTTAAAAAGTCAAGTGGAAAAAAAAGAGGAGTTTAATATTCTGAAGAAGAAATGAAGTAGAAGAAATAAAGGAGGAAAACCTTTTTGAGAACAGGAGGTTGAGAGGAAGGAAAAAGCAAGATGTAATTGTAAAAGGAGAATTTGTGTTGTAACACTCACTTAAGAGGAGAAATGGTCAAATGAAGGAAATTGCTTAAATTAAGGTGATTTAGCAGGCTTAAAAGTGTGGAATATACCCTCATATCATCACTTGGAAGTTGGAAACAGTGAATGATTTTGAATTGGTGGGAAGTTAAGGTAATTGTTCTCTTATGCAGTTTTGACACCAATTATCTCATTTAATGCTCACAATAATCTTAGGAGACTTACTCTTATTTTAGAAATAAAAAATCTGGTTTAGAGTCAAGGATAACACAACTATTGGATGATCCAAACTCAGACCCTGTGATAACAGAGTCCAAACTCTCACATTGAAACATACTGTCTCTGCCTCACTGTGTAATTGCACATGGAAATATTTACCTTAAAATACTAAAGAAGCTGGATTCAAAATTGTATCAGTATGATTTTACCTATCACAGAAAAAAAGTAGTAACTACGTCAAAAGTTGAGGAATTTTTTCCTCCCCCTTAATTTTGGTTTCTTTTCTTTTCCTTCTTTTCGTTTCGTTTCTTTTCTTTTTTGAGATAGGGTTTTGCTCTGTCACCCATGCTGGAGTGTGGTGGCACAATCTTGGCTTACTGCAACCTCCACCTCTTGGGCTCAAGCAATCCTTCTACCTCAGCCACCTGAGTAGCTTGGACTACAGAAGCATGGACTACCACCACACCTGGCTAATTTTTTGTATTCTTGTAGAAATGGGGTCTCACTGTGTTGCCCGAGCTGGTCTTGAACTCCTGGGCTCAAGTGATCTCCCCGCCTCAGCCTCCCAAAGTGCTGGGATTACAGGTGTGAGCCACCGCGTTCAACCAATTTGATATTTTTCAAATGTTCTGTAAACATGTATTACTTAGAGTCAGAAAGAAAAGTTATCTTAGAAAAGCAATTTTGTCCTGAAAGTTGGCCTTCAAGTTTACAAACTGAAAACTGTTTGTGTTTAATGGATTTGTTTTTAGATTATAGTTAAGAACTTTCAATATTAGTCATTGTCATAAAAAATCTGCAGATAATTTTTTGAAATTATGAACTTTTGCTAAGTGTGATTCCATTGAGCATGAGGCAATTTAACCGTGATAGATGAGTATAGTCTTCATTTGTCCTCTGTTCAGCTTGTCTATTGCAAGTCTGAATGCTTATGAACAGATAACAAACCTTGTGGGAAGGCCAGTTTGATGGAATAAACACCGACTTTTAGGTAAAATTAATTTCTTTATTTCAAAGTAATTTCAAAGGTGTATTTAGTATCAATAAGAATAGTCTTCTCATACAAATTTATCATTGTGTAACCTACAAGGCCTTTCTGAAATTATTATATAAATGATCGTATTTCCTGTTCCACAGCGTTGATTTAGGCATTAGCATATTCACTGGATCCATGTTTTGTTCCAATTAGCATCCCATGTATCTCAGCAGGAAACATCACGGAATGTATTGTGGAAGGGCATGCTTGTTTTATTTAACAACAAACATGAAAACCATACTGAAAAACTCAAAAAACTTCATGAGATCATGTCCTTTGCAGTAACATAGATGGAGCTAGAGGCCATTATCCTAAGCAAACTAATGCAGGAACAGAAAACCACCTACTGCATGGTCTCACTTATAAGTGGGAGCTAAACAGTGAGAACACATGGACACAAAGAAGGGAACAACAGACACTGGGACCTACCTGAGGGTGAAAGGTGGAAGGAGGGAGAGGATCAAAAAACTACCCATCAAGTACTATGCTTATTACTGGGGAGATGTAATAATCTGTACACCAGACCCCTGTGACGTGCAGTTTACCTACATAACTAACCTGCACATGTACCTCTGAACCTAAAAGTTAAGAAAGAGAAAGAACTAAGAGAAAAGAAGAGAGAATCTGAAATTACGTGCCTCCTGATGAAAGACACACCATCTCATATAATCTTGCCAGAACTGACTACTAACAAGAAGTTTTCAAATAACAGAGAAACTTATTGAACCATACATGAATATGCAAGCAACAAAATCCAGACTGTGGAACACTACAGTTTCAGGATATAAATTTTACAGAAAAGGAAATGTTGGATGGGGGACTTGTAGATTAAAAGAGATTTAAGATATACACTAAAATGTTTTAAATGGCTAATACTAAACTGTGGTTTCTAGGGATGCACACTTAGGTGAAAAGGCCATATGAGTATATAAGAAAGTGATTAAAAGTTCTGATAGTAGTTACTTTGGGGGACAGGAAGGGGTTGAGATCATGACAGATCACATGGAGGTACTTTTGGGTGCCTGCACAGTTCTGTCTCCAGACTTTGGTGGTGGTTCCAGGGGTGTTTCCTTCATAATAGCTCATTAAACTGCACATTTATTTGGGGAGAAAGAAGTTCACATGCTGACTTTCTTCCCCTGATCATCTATCTGCCCTTATTTATTTCATGTTACCAACAGCCTCCAACTTACCAAACCTGTTAATCAGTTCTTAGTCCTGTTACTCAACCTCTCAGTAGCATTTAACTGATACGTCTCAAGTATTGCTTGAAATGTTTTCTTCACTTGGCTTTTAGGCTACCATGCTTCCCTGGTTTACCTTCCTTTCTTAGCATTCCTTCTCTATCTCACTTTCTAACTTGTCCTCTTTCCCACCTCTAAGTTTTGTTGTAGGACTCAGTCCTTGGATCTGTTTTCTCTGTTTGCATTTACTCTCTAGGCTCGTCCAGTTCCCATAGCTTTAAATACCATCCATATGCTGAGAATTCCAAATTTATATTTTTAGCCCCATCTTCTGTGAGCTCTAGCCTCATATAACCAATTTGCATGTTTGACATAAACACTTGGTCATAGAATGAGCGTCTCAAACTTAGCGCACCCAAAAAGACATAAGAAAAAGAAAATCCATTGGTTATCACTCTACCCTACAACCTACTCCAATTTTTCTCTTCTCTGTAAATAGCATAACATTTACTCAATTGTGTAAGCAAGTAATCCAGAAGTTATCTTTGGTTCTGCTCTTTCTCCCTACTGTCTGTATTCTTAAGTAAGTCTTGTTGACACCACTTTCAAAATACATTCCAAGTCTAACATTTCTCATCACTACCATCTCACCTAAATTATTGCAGTCATTTTCGATTGATCTCTGCACCTACTCTTGCCCCTTCTCAGTTTCATTGTAGCTACAGTAGTCTTTTCAAGTATTTATATTTAATCATTACCATGATCAAGATCCTCTAATAGCATCCCCTCATATTTAGAATAAGATCTAAACTTCTTACCATAGTTTACAAACTGTATCCTCTGGCCTTTCCCTCTCTTACCAACCTCATCACCTACCACTCATTACCTAGCTTATTCTGCTTTTCCTAAACTGACCTCCTTGCTCCTCCTGTAGTATACCAAGATCCTTCCTGCCTATTTGTCCTTTGCACTTGCCATTTCCTTTGCCTGAAACATCTCCCAGAGCTTCATGTGGCTTGCTCTTTCATTGTATCTTTCTACTGAGATGTTACCTGTTCTCTCATAGTACTTACTTCATCTAGTCATTCTGTTAGATCCCTGCTTGTTTCTTTATCATGTATCATCTTCTGTCTTCTCCATGGAAGTATATGCTCCTGAAGGGCAGGGACTTGCTCTTATTCACCAGTGTGTACCCAGTGCCTAGAATAATAGTATCTAACACATGGTAGATGCTTGCAAATATTTTTTTTTTTAGACGGAGTTTTGCTCTCGTTGCCCAGGCTGGAGTGCAATGGCACAGTACAAAGATTTATTCGATGAATGAATATACCATTTTACTGAAATAGATGTTTGACTCATAGGCAAATTGATTCTCCTTTTCTCTAGCAACAAATAATTTCCCATTACTTCTCTCTAGTACTTGACACTGTGTGTCTTCCAACACCCTCCTCTTCTAATGTTGGTATTTCAGTACAACCAGCCACCTACCATATCACTGTCTCACACACCATATCCTATAAATTGTCAACTCTTGTTCATCCTTCTTTTGTATTTTGCTTCTTAAATATGTGCCTCCTTCTGTATCTCCTTTCCTAGTTGAAACCTTTATCATCTCTTACTACTTGATTGCTATAACCTCCCAGCTTCTCATTTTGTCTTAGTACATCCTCCACATTATCATCAGACTTTAAATTATACATATGATTTATCTTTGTATCCCTTGCAGCATCTATCACTTTTTGTTTTTTCAATAGTAGGCACTCAGTGAATGTTGAATGAATAGTCCTGTTTCTGGAAAATAGAATTGATGGGCCATGTGATTACTTTAATGGCTGTAATTCTTTGAAAAGAATTTATGCTTAAATAATCACTCTTAAATCCTATTTTAGAAATGCTGTAGCAATTCTTTGTTGTCCATTGTTTTTAATGGACTTGTAAAGTGACTATAATCACACAATATATTATTGGGTTGTTTCACAGTGGAATTTTCTTTACCGGTTTAATAGAATTGAAGTAATATCTGTACTTCTCTATTAAAATGATTCTTTCTTTTCTCTTAAGCTAAAGTCTCCAGTGAATATTGAATTGCTGAGGAATTTGGGAAAAGACAAATCAAAGTTCCCATTCCATGGATCCCTTAGGTGCGCCTTCCCAGTTTGTGGATGTGGATGCACTACCAAGCTGGGGTGACTCATGCCGAGATGAATTAAATTCCTCTGATACTACAGCTGAAATATTTCAGGAAGACACTGTTCGATCACCTTTTCTTTATAATAAGGACATCAATGGAAAAGTAGTTCTTTGGTAATTATTTGATTACATCATATCCTGAGGAGATAACATTTTCTCATAATTTATTCTGACCTCTTTGTAAGCTCTAGCATTGTTGAAATACAGCTTTACATATACATATATGATTTTATTGAGGTATAATTGACATTTAATAAACTACATATGTAAAGTACACGATATAAGTTTTGACTTGCTAACACATCCATGAAGCTATCACCACAATCAAGATAGTGAATATACCTGTCACCTCCAAAAGTTTTTTTTTCTGTTCCTTTGTAATTCCTCCTTCCTGCGCTTCCCTGCCTCCCCATCCCTAAGCAACCACTGATCTTCTTGTCACTATAGGTTAGTTTGCATTTTCTAGGGTTTTATTTAAATTGAACTGTGTGCTTTTTGGTCTGTTTTCAGCAGAATGATTTAAGTTCATCTGTGTTTTGTGTATCAGTAGTAGTTCATTGCTTTAAAAAACTGCTTCACTGAGATACAATTCATATACAATATAATTCATCTGTTCAAATTGCACAGCCCAGTGATTTTTAACATAGAGTTGCATAACCTTCACTACAGTCAATTTTAGAACATGTTCATCAGCCCAAAGCCCCATTAGCAGTCACTCCTCATTTTTCCTTAATCCCCCTAGGCAACCACTAATCTACTTTCTTGTCTCTATAGATTTGTCAATTCTGAACATTTCATATAAATGGAATGAATACAATAAAGTTTGTGGTTTTTTGTGACTTAGCATAATGTTTTCAAGGTTCATCCATATTGTAGTACAAATCAATACTTTATTCTTTTTTTTTTTTTTTTTTGAGATGGAGTCTCGCTCTGTCACCCAGGCTAGAGTGTAGTGGCGCGATCTCAGCTCACTGCAAGCCCCGCCTCCCAGGTTCATGCCATTCTCCTGCCTCAGCCTCCCAAGTAGCTGGGACTACAGGTGCCCACCACCACGCCCAGCTAATTTTTTGTATTTTTAATAGAGACAGGGTTTCACCATGTTAGCCAGGATGGTCTCGATCTCCTGACCTCGCAATCCACCTGTCTCGGCCTCCCAAAGTGCTGGGATCACAGGCGTGAGCCACCATGCCCAGCCAGTACTTTATTCTTTATTAGGATTGAATAATATTCCCTTGTATGGATATACCACATTTATTAGTTCATTAGTTGATGGATATTTGGTTTGCTTCTACTCTCTGGCCGTTATAAATAATGCTGCTATTTCTAAACATGATGGTTTTGTGAGTTTCAGGGTTATAACAATTGCATTAAAGATCTAAGATGCCAGATTGTTTTTTAAGTCAGAAATTTCTTTTCTATTATTGCTTAGCTTGTGAGCTAGCAAGACCAACATTTTGAAAAAGACAAGGATAAAATGTTTTGAAATAATTAGAAACTAGGTTTCTTTTCTTCTTCTTCCCCACATTTGTTCGTTCTTTACTGTTTCTTCAGGAAAGGAGATGTGGCATTACTGAACTGTACAGCCATTGTGAATACCAGCAATGAAAGTCTCACAGATAAGAATCCCGTGTCAGAAAGTATCTTCATGCTTGCAGGGCCTGATTTGAAGGAAGATCTCCAGAAACTTAAAGGTGAGTGAATTTTCTTTCGTATGTTATCGTTTAGGAAACATTCATTTTGATGTCCTCTACCTTGAAGAGGCATGTTTTGTGGGAAAATTATATAGATATAGCTGTTTTTCTTTTGTTGAAACTAAATAAAAACTGCTTTTGAAAGCTCCATTTTAACATAATTTATTACATTTTGAAATGTGTTAAAAACTGAGTCCTGAGAATTTACTAGCAGTAAAACTTCTTTGTCCTGTCCTGGATTTTAAATGACAATCACTGTAGCTGATTAGATCTTTGGTAGCATTTTCTTGGCTGCATATTTTCTTGCACAAAACATGCAAGAAAAGCCTTATGAGATGACTATCCTCCTGAACTGAAAAGCTGTTAAATTACCAACTTTGCAGCCCTTTGTTATTTGAGCCCAAATGAAATACTGTGAAATTCAGTCTTCCCATTGTATAAAAACTATTTATGAAATACAGCAATGTTGCTTAAAATGTAAACAGCAAAGTTAACCTGTATAAAATCTTGCTTCCCTTCCCTTCTATCATTTAACACTGACAACTGGTTTCTAACCTAATAAAAATATTAGAACTTGATCAGGAATACTGATAAGTGCTGACTCTATGAAGGAAGGGATAGAATGGGAAGAATTGCATTTTTTGATCCAGAAACTGAATTTTGACTGTAAGGACAGAATGGGGGAAATGATCGTAACTAAACTGCAAAATAAGATACCATGAAGAACATGTAGAAACTAGAAAAGATATTGAAGATAATACTGAGAAGTTCTTTGCTAAAAGGAACAGAGAAGTTGGTCTGAAAAAATTCCTAATGGCATGTGTGTGTATGCTTACATACACCTTAGAGCTAGACTTATGAATAATAAAGAAAATAAGAAAATTTAACACAAATATACAAGTAAAACCTCCATATTAAACTGCGTGTTTGAGCATCTCCAAGCTGAGATTCATATTATATAACTCTGCCCTTTACTAACTGTGTGACTTAAGACCGGTTACTTCACCTCTGAGTCTGAGTTTCCTTATCTCTAAAATGGGGATAGTAATGGTAGTTCCTAACTTAGTTCCTGACATATAGCAAGAGCTTAAAATTTAGAGATGGAAAAAACTAATATCTTGAAGACTAAATTAAATAATGGACATTAGGTGCTAAGCACATCCTAAGTGTTCAACAAGTATTATTTCTGGTGTTAGTTATTAGGCCCCAGTTGTATGTTTAAGTTTAATGAATCAGTGCCAACCTTTAGGTTATTACTAAAGGGCTGCATACTTAATCCTATCCCCTTTTTACATTTTTATTAATGACTTAATAAAAACAAGCATGACTTACCAAATTTGTAGATGATAGAAAGCTGAAAGAGTAACAGGACATACTGGATGATAGACTAAAGATTTTCATGTGACTAGAAGTATAAGCCAAAAAATGAAAAAATTAACGGAGATGAATATTAAAGTTTTGCAGTAAGTTTTAAATGATGGGAAACATCATTTGTTTAACACTTTATGTCTCAGTAAAATGGCATTATTTTCCATTCCATTTTTCTTTTTCTTTTTTTTTTTTTTTTTTCCTGAGACAGAGTCTCACTCTGTCACCCAGGCTAGAGTGCAATGGTATGATCTTGGCTCACCACAACCTCCACCTCCCAGGTTCAAGTGATTCTCCTGCCTCACCCTCCCGAGTAGCCGGGACTACAGGTGTGTGCCACCATACCTGGCTGATTTTTGTATTTTTATTGGAGATGGGGTTTCACCATGCTGGCCAGGCTGGTCTTGAACTCCTGACCTCAAGTGATCTGCCTGCTTCAGCCTCCCAAAATGCTGGGATTATAGGCGTAAGCCACCATGTCCAGCCTCCCATTCCATTTTTCTTTTCTAGGAACCCTAGTGTTAACACTTCCCTCTTTCTTATCCCTCACATAAAGTCTATCATCATGCCCTAAATTAATCTTAAATCTATTTCTGTCTGTCACCACTGTCTCCAGCAGCTAGCGTATGCAACCATCATTCCCCACCTAGACTACAGCCATATCCTCTGTCCCAACTGGTCTTGCTACATCTATTCTTCGTTTCTTAAATCCATAGTCCACACACAACCAGTAAGTGTAAACCCCTTCTTATTGTTACTTTACTTCAAACTATTTAGTGACCTCTCATTAAACTTAAATTCTAAACTCCTTAAACTGATCCCCACGTCCTTGCAAGATTTCACTCACTTTTCTCCAGGCTTATCCCATGCCCCCTTTTCCCCTCCTTACCATGCTTAAGCCAAACTGATCTCTTCTCACTACCTTGCCATCCAAGCTCCTTTCCAGTTTTGCACTTGCTGCTGTTCTTTCTCTCAGTTGTCAACCTTTGTTCTTAAGTCTTGGCTCATATCTCTTCCTCAAAGCACTATTTCTTTTTACTTCAGAATAGATCAGACCACCCATAGTATATGCTCCCAGCCTGCAGTACTTCTCTCTTGTTTGCTTATCACAGTTGTAATCTTGTAAATTGTCTTGTGATAACTGTATCCCCATTAAACTGTAAACTCCGTATGGACAAGAACTGTATGTCTTTTATTACTTTTTAGGAGTAATAAATTGGAGTACACTTAACAGAAAATTACTAACATTGTGGAAACCACATTATTTAAAGAGCTAGGATTAGCATAGAGAAGAGAATATTTGGGGGAAACAGTACTTATTCTCAAATACTTGAAAAAGGATCATATTGAAGAGGGAGAATGATAATCATAGTGGGTACCTAGAATCCTTGATAAGAAGATACATAAAACTGTATGTCAGTTCAGTTAGTATCTAAGCATCAATACTAAAATTAGAATAGGCAGAGTTGGCTTATTGTGCCCAAATTTCCCCCCTGAAAAAAAATCAGTCTTATATTCACTTTGTGAATTTAGAAATTTTATGAAACTAAACCTATGTGAGGTTTGTTTGTTGTTTGAACCTGTATGTGGGTGTGGATGTATACATACACTCTTATATCTTTTCATACCAAAATAAAGTAATTATGTGTATGCTATTCTCAAAATAAGGTAATCATGTACGTATTCTGAAATTTGCCTTCTTCAGCAAATGAATTCCACCTTTTAATTTCAGAAATTACATCCACTACCCAAACCATATTTAAAATTTCCAGCTGATCCAAAAATGTCCTTTGTAGCAGCTATTTTATCCAAACCAGCATCCCATCCAGGACCACACGTTGCATCTTTTTTGTTATGTTTATTAATTTGTCTCTGTGTGTGTGGTATTTTGTAATCCAGTATGGTCTCCTGTCTATGACACTGACTTGTTGACTGAACAAGGCCAATTATTTTTCACAGTATTCCTCCTTCTAGATTTGTCTGATTTACTTGAAGTGCCATTTAGTTTGTATTTCCTATAAACTTGACATTATGTCTAATGGAGTCAAGTTTTGCCTAAAATATTACATAGGTGATGTTGTGTTGTCTACTTAATGTTGTATCGTGTTAGACCTGTTAGTGGGCCATTACTCATACTAAGATGGCTCTCTTAATTGGAGTGAAGACAACAGTTTGATCCTTCCATTTTTTTCTTGCCAAGGTCCCTCCTGGAACCCTCCATCCTCCCTTTCCTCTCTAGACTGTTCTCTATGCCTGCTGCGCAGTGTCTGTTCTGGAACTTTTTTTTAACATCATCCTGGGAAATCCTTTTTTCTGTTTGATAGATTAGATCTCTTATTTTATTTTATTTTATTTTATTTATTTATTTTTTTTTTTTATTTTATTTTTGATGGAGTCTCACTCTGTTGCCCAGGCTGGAGTGCAGTGGCACGATCTCGGCAAGCTCCGCCTCCTGGGTTCACGCCATTCTCCTGCCTCAGCCTCCCGAGTAGCTGGGACTACAGGCGCCTGCCACCACGCCCAGCTAACTTTTTGTATTTTTAGTAGAGATGGGGTTTCACCGTGTTAGCCAGGATGGTCTCCATCTCCTGACCTTGTGATCCGCCTGCCTCCGCCTCCCAAAGTGTTGGGATTACATGCGTGAGCCACCGCATCTGGCCTGGATCTCTCATTTTTGTGAGTAAATCTACCAGGAGATTTTAAAGAAGGATACAATAGGGCAAAACTACTGAGATTTTACTTCCACCTTCGTACTTAGTTGGTAATTTGCTTAGAAATAGAATTCTAGTTTGGAAATCATTTTCTAGAAATTTGAAGGCACTACTCCTTCGTTTTCTACTTTGATTAGTGCTGTTAAGAAGTCTCATGCTGTTCTTATCCCTGATTGTATGCTACTGGTTTCTTTCTGGAAAGCTTATGATCTCATCTGTGTTTCTTAGTGCTCTTAAATTTTACAGGGATGTGCCTTCATATGGTTTGGGTGTTTTATGGGCTCTTTGAATCTAGAAACTCATGTCTTTCCATCCTGGTAAATTTTTTTGTTTTATTTCATTAATAATTTCCTTCCTTCTTTATTCTCTGTTCTCTCTGAAGAAATCCTGTTGGATGTTGTATTTTCTTATTTAATTTTTCAGTTTTCTCATCTGTTATCTCTTATTTTCAATTTATTTTTGTTTTTTTTTCTGGATTTCTTCAAGTTTAGTTTGAACCCTTCTATTGAACTTATCATTTCTGCTGTCATATTTTTCACTTGGCTCTAGGTAAGTGCCATTTCCTGTTCTCTGAATAGTCTGTTTTTATGACATTCTGATTTTGTTTAAAGTTTTTTTTTCCCTGTGTTGCCCATTTCTTGAGCATGTGTTTAGTCTCCCCTTTTAGTTTTTGTTAGAGGCTTTTCTCTCTTTCTGGTGGTCCTTAAGTGTTAGCTGTATTTAAGATGGAAGAACTGAAAAGTTCATGGGAAACTTTGTACACATGGGTGTCTAAGTCAGTTCAGGCTGCTATAACAAAGTATCATAGGCTGAGTGGCTTAGGAAGAACAGAAATTTCTGGAGACTAAAATCCAAGATCAGGGTGCCAGCATGGTCAGGTTCTGCTAAGGACTGTCTTCCTGGCTGCAGACTGCTGAGTTTTCATTGTGTTTTCATGTGGCAGAGAGAGGGAGCAGACTTTCTGGAGACTCTTACAAGGATTCAAATCTCTCTCATGAGGGCTCTGCCCTCATGAGCTTATCTAATTCTAATTACCTCCCAGAGACCCTACCTCCTAACACCATCACATTAGGGGGTAGGGTTTTAACATACAAATTTTGAGGGAACCCACGCATTCAGTTCACAACAGTGGGCAAAGGTTATTGCCTGGTGGGTCTTGAAGCATATGACAGAATGGGACTCCTGCCTGTTATTTTATTGGGGAACTTTCCCCGTTTATCATAATCTGTAGGTCCTTTAGGTTTGGGCCTCTCAATTTCTTGGAAAGGAATCCTCCATGAGCGTAAGCCTAGATGTCTGTTTTGAAAGCCATTTGGGGGCTGAGGGCTAGACCTTTCACTGTTAAGTATAACACTTTAACTAAATCCCCTCTTTCCTGGGGTTCTGGAATTCAGAAACTCTCTAGTTGAGCATCTCCAGAGAATAAACTTCTTCCCTGCTGCTCTGGTGGTAAAAAAAAAAAAAAAAAAAAAAAAAAAACATAGCCTTACTGTGCTGGCTGGGGGAGGGGTTGTTGCAGATTTGACTGTCTTTATACAAACTTTTAACTGGGCCTCCTCTTTTTAGCGCCACATCCAACTTCACAGCATAGCCTTTACAAGTACTTAGGGCTCCAATTTCTGAGCCTTTTTAGCTTTCTCTAGTAATAATAACAATAATTGCTGATGCATGTACACACTTTGCATATACTCGTTTAATCCTGTGAAGTAAGTACTACTAGATCCCTCTTAAATAGGAAATTGAGTTGTGACGAGGCCAAGCCCCTGCCCAGAGTGTCTTGACAGGAACGTGGTAGACTCAGGATTTGAATCAAAGCTGTCTGTCATGTATCCAACACTGCTCTTTAGTACAGATCAACTTGCTTCGTATTAGTTATCTCATTTCTACAAGCAGTTAGGTTTCTCTGCTCTGTTGAGTCAGTTACTAGTCAGTTGACATTCTACCTTCCAAAATTTTGATGATGCTTATCTGCTTCATGTTCTTTCTCATTCTTTTTATCTGTCGCTGTGCTTATACCTGTTGTACTGCTTCACTGTCATTATCCAACAGAAGGAACAGAGATAAATGCTTATGTTCAGTCTGTATTTTTAACTGAAATTTCTCAAAGTTCTCAGTACTTTCTCTGTTTCATGCTTTCATTTGTTTTTGTTTTTGTTTTCCTAACACGTCCAAACTTAGGTATGTTTCCATTGTTTCCAGGTTGCCGAACAGGTGAAGCAAAATTGACAAAAGGATTCAATCTAGCTGCCCGGTTCATCATTCACACAGTGGGACCTAAGTATAAGAGCCGCTATCGCACAGCAGCTGAGAGTTCCCTTTATAGCTGCTACAGAAACGTACTTCAACTAGCAAAGTATGGTCTACTCATTTTCTGGACATAGCATATCAGACATTGTTAAAGGCCCCAGTTTTTTAAAGACAAAGGCCCCAGTTTTTAAAGATTAAAAACCTAGCAGTGGATGTCAAATTTTAGGTGATTTAGGAGGACCCTGACAATAGAATTATCTTTTCAAACTTAGCAGGATAAATGGGATAGATTTGAGTGACTTGAGAATTTAACCTTTTCCCATTTTTTATTCAGTTTTTATGTGAAATATGTGTCCTCCAAAGAGTACAATTAAATTGTATATTAATATAATTTTTGAGTAGTACAGTTGGGTTAGCTTTTATAGTAGATTTGTTGAAGAGAGAGGAAAGGAGAAGTTGAGCTAGATTTTGAAATTAGTTATGTATTGTATATGTATTACAGATGTTTGTAGTGCAATTTTTGTGTTTTCCCTTTGGTTGCAGAGAGCAGTCAATGTCTTCTGTTGGCTTCTGTGTCATCAATTCTGCAAAACGTGGTTATCCTTTAGAGGATGCAACACACATAGCACTTCGTAAGTAATGTTGGAGAAGCTGTACATGAATTGAATCTTTAAAATTTTTAAAATTCTGGACATGGTGGCTCACACCTGTAATTCCAGCAACTTGGGAGGCTGAGGCAGGGGGATCACTTGAGGCCAGAAGTTTAAGGCTGCAGCGAGCTGTGATTGCATCTATGAATAGCCACTGCACTCCAGTCCGAGCAACATGTAGTGAGACCTCATCTCAAAAAAAAAAAAAAAAAAGTTTTTTTTTTTAATCATTAAATAGTTATAGCCAAAGAATATTCATTGATTAAGTGATTGTAGTACCCTGGAGGGAAATTTTTATTGGCAAGCTGCAGAGCTCTCAATTTACTTTTTCAGGTTGACATTTTTATCCATTTGAATAAAGGGTTAGAAGACTTGCCTATTAGTTTTTTTAATTTAACAGAATTTGATTGAGCAAAGAACGAGTCTGGAGTTGGGCAGCCCCCAAAACCTGTATAGGTTCAGAACAGCTAGCCTCTTGAATTTGAAAGTGATGCTAAGTTAGAAAGTATGGCTAATGCATTGAGTAGTTAAATCACAATTTAGAATAATCTTAACAGTGCAATAAATGCAGTCTGATTTCATGATATCATATTTGTATAACACTTGGCAGTTTAAATAGCCACATTCACACATGCTGTTTGAATGTAAAACTACATTTAGGTTTTCAAAAGACTGGGCTCAATCAGTGTGAGCCAAATGTCTGTATGTGACATAAAAATATGGCATTCAGCTAAAGAGAGTCCATGATCTCACTGTATATATGCAGATTTAGACCACATCTCGAGTTTTATATTTATTTCTGTGTGTCATATTTCCATGATCTCACTGTATATATGCAGATTTAGACCACATCTCAAGTTTTATATTTATTTCTGTGTGTCATATTTCATGAGACACTGACAAACAGGAGGGCAAACAGTTTGAAACAGTAGTGGTGTTTCTTCTAAAGAAGAGCATGCTTTTAGAAAATATGATGTCCATCTTCAAATATCTGAAGGAGTCTCATTGTGAACTTATTCTGTGCTACATTTTTCAGGCAGCAGTTCTTTCAGGTATTGTCATAAACTACAATGAGCATCTGGTGAAAGAACACTGTGAACCCATTGTCAAGAAAAATGTGCATAAATACAGAATTTGCATGTTATTTCAGCAAGTTTACAGATCCTCATCAGGATTATAGATAAGAACTCCAACTGTACAAGGCAAGGTCTAAGACCAAGTTATAAGGAAGAAAATGTTGGTCCCACTTGAAGTAGTACTAACTGTAACAGAAAAGTATTTTAGCGATCTTCTTGTCACTAGGAACATTCATGCAGAGGTTACATGACCATTTGTTGCAGCTATTATAGAAAACACTTCTCATTTCAAAGACAAATGATACTAAATGATCTTTAAAACCCCCTGTTATCTCTAGAATTTAAAGTTGAAGAGCTGAAAGCCTTATATCCACAAATACCACAAAGATATTTGAATGTATAAATTATTATTATGTAGCCTGGAGTTTAGGGTGAGGCTCTGTTCAGTCTTAGTCTTCTTTAATTATAAACTATTTTAAAAACCAATATTCTAATTACTCAAGGATTTTATAGTAAATTTGTATATTTTATAATTAAGCTTATATACATTATACTAGACTGAGCTTGGGGGGCAGGAATCTTACCTTTTTATCTTGAATGCTTGACATATGGTACTTGCTCAAGAAATAAGTATTTTAAAAAAGGACAAGTAAATTCCACTTACTTTACTTAACAACCCTGTGTTTTAGGTAGTATGGTGTCCATTGTACAAATAAAGAGGCTCAGAAATTTCTCCTATTGTGAGAGTTATGCAGACTTGGAGCATATATCCAGACCTTCTGACTCCCAAATCTAGTAACCTGTCTGCTATACTAGATGATTCATTATGCTTGAGTTAGAACTGCTTCAGTGGAAGACTACTCTGTTATTACATGCCTGTCTTCTAAATGGTACCTAACCAAAGCAAAATTCCTGCCTTGATATCATTGCTCCTGACAAGGCTTTTGACTGGTCTCTGCATTCTCTGATTTTACTTAGTCCTTGTCCTGTCATCTCATAGCTTCTTTTATATATCTATTTTTTATGAAGGTAATCATAAGGATTGTATTTTAAAGAGGCAGCATTATTTTGTATAAAAGGTTCTTAATAGGGAGTTAAGAAGACTGGTTTTTAGTTCTAATTCTACCAGTCCAACTCTAGCTCTGTGGCCCCAGACAAATCACTTGATACAGTACTATAAGAGACGTCAACTTTGAGAGTAGCAGCAGATAAAGATCGATAATGGGTATAAGGGACTTTGATGAAGCAATTTCTAGAAATATGATTAGCAAAAAGGAAATGTACAACTCTTAAAGTGGGCACATTTGACTTATTAGGCCTTAAATCTAGTGGCAAAACTGTAGAATCTCATTCAAACACACAGAAGATAATGCCTTTTGCTTGAATATTTTATCAGGCATTTGGAAAACAAATGACTTGTATACTTTTGTAACATATATGGGCCAAGAACAGATCTAATGATATAACTCTAAGTACTTGGTATCAAAAGCTTTCTTATTAAACTCTTATCAAAATTTATTTCATTTGAAGCCTAAGTAATATGTTTTTGATAGATATATTAAGACTTGTGCTTTTTTTTTTTCTTAGTTCATGTGCAGTTTGTTTTTCTCCAGAAGAAGTATCTGCATTGAAATAAATTTATCAGGTTATTTATTCATCCAATAAAAATTTGAGTGACTACTAGGTACTGTATACAAAATAATACAGTGGCGAGAAATAAGATGAAGGTATTTGTTCTTGCGCTGTTTCCAGATGGAGAATTATAATGTCCTAGATATCATTCTTACTATTTATAGGGTATTCACTAGATGTTTAAGCACAGGACATCATGATTGGTTGCAGAGATAGACGAAATTTTGAAAGGAGGAGCGTGGTCTGACCTTTAGTACTAAAACCGTAGAGTCATGACATCATTCTTCTTCACTGCTTTTGCAGAGTTAATTTTCTACATGAGTTCCACTGAGAGAATTCAGTTTGGTTGCTATTTGGTATTGTATTTTATCTTCCAAAGGAAATAATATAATTATATTCTGGGAAACTATTATGCATGAACATTAAAACTTGATGTCAAAGTAAATAGGAAACAGAAAATCTTTATGTTTTGTTTTGTTTTGTTTTGTTTTCTGAGATAGAGTCATACAGTGTCACCCAGGCTGCAGTGCAGTGGGGCAAACACAGCTCAATGCAGCCTCAACCTCCTGGGCTCAAGTGATCCTCCCTTGTTAGCCTCCTAAGTAGCTAGGACTACAGGCATGTGCCACCATACCTAGCTAATTTAAAAAAAAATGTGGTAAACACAGGGTCTCACTGTGTTCCCAAACTAGTCTTGAACTCAGGCTCAAGTAATCGTCTTGCCCTCACCTCCCAAAGTGCTGGGATTATAGCCATGAGCCCCACACCCTGCTGAAAATCTTTTTTTGAAAGTTCATTTTGAAGAAGCTTTAAAGCAGAATAGAGGGAAAAATGAAAAGTATATTTGTTATCCAACAGGAGGAGAGTTATGAGTGTTTAATCCTTTAACAAATGGGTTTGCTTTGTCAGGTTCTTTACCTACAATGTTGAACAAAGCAGGCAATATGTAACTGAGCCATCAATTGTTAATTCAGTTACTAGTTACTTTTCAATGATTGCATATCACATCCGTAAGGTGTGCTAGGCCCCAAATTAAAGTAATATTAATATAAAATATGGTTGGTCTTCAAAAAGCTTAGTCTACCTATAAAATGTGAGAAATTCTTTAAAATGAAGGGTGTTCAAAAGATTCTAGAGGGGGCACAAGGAAGGGTGGAGATGGCTCTCGACTGGGTCTTGAAAAATGAGTAGGAGTTCACCAAAAGAAGAGAATGGTGGATGAGTGGTATTCCAGTCAAAGGTAGGCATGCAAGCAGAGGCAGGGCATCAAGTAAGTGGTATGTTTTGAATACAGCAAAGTAGATTTGGCTAAAGCATAAGATGTGGGAGGAATAATTGAAAATAGGACTAAAGAGCTGAGTGGGGAAAAGTGGATAGTTGGGGTTGGAGTATAGAGAGTCGTGCTAGGGTTTTTGAATCTTAACCTGTAAGCAGTGCAGAGCATCACCAGTGTTTAGTAAAGAGGGTACCATGAGAAGATAACTCAGGCAACAGTGAGTATGTAGACTTGGGGAAGAAAGACACAAGGAGAGCAGTTAAGAGCTTGTTACCAAAGTCTGTGTGAGCCTTGAGAACCTGAAAGCAGCCAAAAGAAATGAATAAATGTTAGAAATATTAGCAATAGAATTAAAAGCCATAGAAACTATTTGAAAATGCAGTGTGAAGGAAGAGGTAAAGGAAGCATCAAAGACAATTCAGGATTCTAGCTTGGATGATTGGTTGGATGTTGATATGTAACCAAAATAAGGAATATAGGTAAAAAGGACCAGGTTTGTTGAGAAAAAGATGGTGGTCAGGATTTGGACCTGTTGGGGTCAGGTTTGGCTACACTGAATTTGAGGTCTCTGTGAGTTATCTGATCAGATATACCCAATAGGCGTCCGGTAATTCAGGTCTTTTCCTCAGAAAAAAGAATATAAAGATTTGAGAGCCATCAGCATTTGAGGTAATACCTATCCAGCACATTCATGAGCCAAGGAGAATAAGTATATCAAAAAAATAAAAAATATTGAAGGCAGAACACTGGAGGACAACATTTTTAAAAGGTGAGGGCATGTGTGTTAAGGATTAAAGCTAGGGAGAGATCCAATGAGTTAAGAACTGAAGAAAAGGCCAGTAGGTCTTGTTATTAGGAAACTGATAAAGAAGAATTAGGACAACATAGAAATTAAGAAAAAAGTAATTGAGCTTTGGTTTTGTGGAGTTTTTTCCGGGTCTGAAGGGCTGGGTAGGATATCTAATACTGTAACTGAATGAATGGAAAAGACACTTGTGCTAGATCATTCTGGCTGAGAGAGGCCCCAGGGAATAAGAATATACTGGATAAGAGAGAATTATCTGGAGTCAGCATCTTCTACGGCCAGTCACTGTTCTTGGCATTGGAAATAGAGCAAGAAATACAATAAAGTGTCTTCTGTTATGGATCTTTCATTCTAGTGAATGAGGTGGAGAGGGCAGGGAGGATAACAATACACAAGTAACTTCATAAAATGTCTATCACAGTTGCTCTGGAGGAAAGCAAATCAGAGAAGAGTTTTTATACAAGTAGTCTGAGCAGGCTTCACTGATAGGGTATTACTAAGCAGAGTCCTGAATGAAGTGAGAAGTGATCCATTACAAAAATAAAACATTGAGGAGTTTGATTTTTCTTTATGTATAAGTAGTTTTTTATTTATTGAGTAATCTTTCTATTCTTTTCCTTAGGCACTGTAAGGAGATTCCTAGAGATTCATGGGGAAACCATTGAAAAAGTAGTATTTGCTGTCTCTGATCTTGAAGAGGTATTTTGCTAATTGTTACATTATTTAAATCTTATTTCTACCTTTAAGCATTTGCCTTTGGCTTATCGCTGTATATTTACTGAGTTTCCAGCAGACAAATCCTAATGATCTATGTATGTATTTGAGAGTGGGTCTTACCATCATTCATTGAAAAAGACTATATTGGAAACTAAAAACAAGTCAAGAAGGAGCATTTTGTTCATATTTTTTATGGCTAAACTGTTGTCGCTGTGAGTGAAATCTTACAAAGTGGAGTTGTTTTGCTTGGCCCCTGTGTTAGCTCTCAAAGCAACACCTTCTAAGCACTGAGTGTTTGGGGAGCATAACTGGAAACTACTATGCCAGAAAAGCTTTGGTGTGTGCCTGAGCAGGTGACAGCCTAGCCCAGTGGCTGGTACTGTGAGGTTTATATGTTTTGTCATATGTAGTTCAGTTTAATATATTTCAATTTAATGTCAAGCCATTTTAGAAAATCAGTTTATTCTTATCTCATTACACTTTAATTTTAGAGTGATTTGTCTAGTTCAGCTTCTAATATTTCCCAGTTTTGTATTATTGAGCAAGTTAACCTCTCTGCTTCAGTAAAATAGAAATACTGATAGTACCTCTATCAGGTTTTTCTTGATAATAAAATGAGCTAGTATATTCATATTAGCTATCTATTAGTGAAGTATCTATTCAAGGCATATATAGCTACATATATAATATATATGTACCTTTGAATTTGCTGAAAAAAAGGCACATTTACTTTATCTCGTTTCATCTGGTTTATTTATACATAGAATCTTCCAGTGATCTTTTACTGAGTGTTTGCATATATCAGGTTTACTATATTAGGTCCTGGGAATATACCAGTGAAAAAAGCATGGTTGTTTCCTCAAGGAGCCTTTATCCTTTTATGGAAATAGATAATTCAGATACATTCAGATAATTGTGATAAGTGCATTAATGGAGGTATGGGAAGGATAGGACATAACTTTAACCTGGCACGGGGTTAGGAAATGCTTCCCATAGGAAGTGATACATAAGTTGAAATAATTGTAAAAGGTACATAAGATTTGCCAAGGGAGAGAGGCAAGTGGCAACAGTCCTACAAGCCTGAGCAAAGACATGGAAATAAGACATAGCATCGAGTGTTTAGTATTGCTGTTGCATAAAATGTGAGGCTGAGAGTGGCAAAAATGAAAGTTAGATAGGGATAAGATCATTCAAGGCCTTGTGTCACATCCTGTAAAATTTAGACTTTATTAATTACGCAATGGGAAACAGAAGAGCTTTACACAAACAAATGATGTCATCTAATTTCTGTTTTAGCTGTGTGGAGGATGGTTTGGAAGGAGAAAGACTAATGGCAAGAAGAGATAACAGGTGCTTGCAGTACTCCACATGAGAAATGATCAGGCCTGAACAAGGGTACTGGTAGTGTTAAAATTTTAAACATTTAGTAAATAAATTCAACTGGAGTTGGTGGTTGATTAAATACATACGGGAAAAGGAGTTAAACATGACTTCTAGGTTTTTGGCTTGAGTGACTAGGTAATGATGCCACCATTGAGATAGCAAATAGAAAGTGGGAAAAGTTTTGGAGATGGGATGAAGACAAATTATTTTCTGAACATGTTGAGTCTTAGAGGATCAGTGGATCATCAGGGCAGAGGCTCAGCAAACCATTGTGCTTATCAGTTTGAAGCTGAGGAGTGAAGTCTAGGTTAGAGATTTGTCCATTTTCATAGGATAGGATACAAATGAGATATGGCTCTTGCTCTCAGGGAGTTGGCAGACTAATGCTGAGACAACCAGATAAACAAAGATCACCCTACAGTGTGGCAAATGCTCCTCTAAGGTATGCACCACAGTGCCCTGGCAACTTGACACCTGACTCAGATTTAGAGGAACAGAGAATAAAAGTCTTTGCCCTCAGTATACCTGGGAAAGTAATCAACATTTACCATCTTTTTCTCAAGTCATTTGTGAATAATTTATAGAAGAATAAAGGGATAATGAAAACCAAGTTTATTAGACATTTTAGTAAGAATTTAAACATAACAAACCTCTTTGTATCAAGTAAATACTGTTGCACAAACATAAAAAATGAAAGAATACTGTCACACATCCTTTTAGTAAAATGAGATTGTCCAGGTTCCTATCACAAAATAGTATGTGATTAAGTTCTTCCTGTTGAATGACGGAATGAGAATACCATATTTTCTTTTGTCCTTAGAAATACACAGTGGCTCATGCCTGTAATCCCAGTACTTTGGGAGGCTGAGGCAGGTGGATCACCTGAGGTCAGGAGTTCAAGGCAGGGCAGGACTTGTAGTTTAGGACTGGCTAGTTTGAATAATTCCAGCAGACTCTGGACTATAGGAGTAGTCTCTAGATTCCTGATACCTGGCCCTTGATTATTTAGACCAAGAGAAATATTTGCATGGTATGTAAGAGTTAGATAAGGAAATGATTAGAACTGTAGATTTGGGATTGGTTGGTTGGCATATGCAAGATGTACTTTTTACTATCTTTAGGAATTAGTTATCCCTTACAAGGACAGTCTTCCCAGGCCAGAAAGCTTTTTAAGATGTGAAAAACATCATAAAATAGAAAAAAAAAAAAAATGAAACGTAATTAACATACATTTATTTAAAGACGATATACAGATAGCCAGTAAACACTGCAAAAGTGGTCCACACCATTAACCATTAGAGAAATACAAGTAAAAACCACAGTGGATACCACTTCACACCCACTAACATGGCTATAATTATGAAGGGAGACAATAACAAGTGTTGGTGAGGATGTGGAGAAATTGGAACTCTCATAGGTAGTTAATTGGAATGTAAAAATGGCACAGCTACTTTGGAAAACAGTCTGGCAGTTCATGAAAAAGTTAAACATAGAGTTACCCTATAATGCAGCAGTTTGACTCTTAGTTGTATACAGAAGAGAGTTGAAAACATTTATGTCCACACAAAAATTTGTACACAAATATCTGTAGTAGCATTCTTTATAATAGCCAAAAAATAGAAACAACTGAAATGTCATCAAGTGATGAATTGATATAAAAAAATGTGGTGTGTGTATGTGTGCGTGCATGTGTGTTAGAATATTATTCAGCCATAAAAAAGGAATGAAGTATTAATACATGCTACAACATGGGTGAACCTTGAAACCATCATGCTAAGTGAAAGAAGCCAGACACAAAATGCCACATACTGTATTCCATTTTTATTTTTATTTATTTATTTATTTATTTATTTATTTATTTTTTGAGACAGAGTCTCGCCCTGTCGCCCAGGCTGGAGTGCAGTGGCACGATCTCGGCTCACTACAACCTCCAAATCCCAGGTTCAAGTGATTCTCCTGCCTCAGCCTCCCAAGTAGCTGGGACTATAGGCGCATGCCACCACACCTGGCTAGTATGTTTAGTAGAGATGGGATTTCACTGTGTTAGCCAGGATGGTCTCCATCTCCTTACTTCATGATCTGTCCGCCTCAGCCTCCCAAAGTGCTGGGATTACAGGCGTGAGCCACCGAGCCTGGCCTTTTTTATTTTATTTTATTTTATTTTATTTTTTGAGACAGAGTCTTACCCTGTCACTAGGCTGGAGTGCAATGGTGCAATCTTGGCTCACTGCAACCTCCACCTCCTGAGTTCCAGTGATTGCCCTGCCTCAGCCTCTCGAGTAGCTGGAACTACAGGCATGTGCCACCATGCCCGGCTAATTTTTTTGTATTTTAGTAGAGATGGGGTCTCACCATATTGGTCAGGTAGATATCGATCTGACCTCGTGATCCCCCTGCTTCGGCCTCCCAGAATGCTGAGATTACAGGTGTGAGCCACCGTGCCTGGCCCTGTATTCTATTTTTATGAAATGTCCAAAAATAGGCAAATTCATAGTGACAGAAAGAAGATTAGTAATTGCCAGGGGTGGGAGAGGAAGGAATGGTGAATGATTGCTGATGGATTTTAGAGTGATGAAAATGTTCTGGAATTAAATAGTAGTGGTGATTGTACCTCCTTTGTGAATATTGTGTATGAAAAAATCACTGAAACTGGGTTTGGTGGTGTACACCTGTAATCCCAGCTACTTGGGAAGTTGAGATGGGAAAAATGCTTGAGCCCAGGAGTTTGAGAACAACCTGGGCAGCATAGCAACACTCATCTCAAAAAAGAAAACAAAAACAAACACTGAATTGTATACTTGTATACTTTAAAAGGGTGAATTTTATAGTATGTGAATTCTATCTCAGTTTTTTGCTATGGGCAACACAATATGAAACTGAAAGATAATGATTTCTCGAATGAGTTCATTGTCCTAGGTGATTCCATAATTTTTTTCTTTTTATTTTGTTTGTCTTTTTTAGTATAGTTTGTAATAATTGATGAGTAATTCTAGGTAATGAGAAAATGATTCCTAGGAAGATGAAAAAGCAAAATGCTTCAAGATGTAGGACAAATAAGAGCATACATGCCTTTAATGTATTGCAGATTTATTAGTCCAGTGGACCAATCAATATGGGAATTACAAGATAAGATGAGTTTTATTCTGTTTTTTTAAGTACATCTTTGTTCTTTGAAAAAATTTTTAAGAAAGAATAAATATCATGAAAGACAAATCCTTCACAAACAACTCAGAAGCTAAACCTGGTTGAACGGACCCTGATGGCACACTGAGGGTTAAGGAAGTAGCTAGCATCTGAGCCAAATCTTGAGAGACCGGTATCGTTAGGAAGTGAAGGTACGGATAGGGACAGGAGTGGTAGGACTTATGCATTCCAGGTTCAGTGACCTGAAATTGTTAGGATGGGCAGGCATCACATTTAACTTGACTAGGTAACAATATCCTTATCTTTAACACAAAAGCTGATTGAGGGTTCCAGACAGTATCTAGTCTGAACTCAGAAGTCGTAAAGTCTTTATTCTTGATAGAGGTTGTCTTCACAGTGTATGAACAGCTCAGCTAAGTACTGCTGAGGTCTTCTGTGTTTTGTGCTATTTTTCACAGAATGTCTTGCTTTTCTGACACAGGCTACTTACCAAAAGCTGCTACCTCTGTACTTCCCAAGGTCATTGAAAGAGGAGAATCGATCATTGCCGTACCTACCTGCAGATATTGGAAATGCAGAAGGGGAGCCTGTGGTACCCGAACGACAGATTAGAATAAGCGAGAAACCTGGCGCTCCAGAAGGTGAGCTCTAGAGCTCTAACTTTTTAAATCTCTCTCTTAAGGAGCAAAGATAAGGCACCAATCACCAAAGAAGTAAGAGATTCAGCTTGACCTTTGGAAAGCTCTCTGTTACCATGACATTACTATCAAGACCAGAGTAGAAGTTTTTGAGTTCTATTCTTGAAATTACAAATACAATTTAGATAGATAGATAGATAGATAGATAGATAGATAGATAGATAGATAGATAGATAGATAGATAGATGTCAAGTCTGTGTTAGACAGTGGAGATTAAGAGGTGGCTATAACAACATTCTCACCCTGATGGAGGTTATAGTTTCATGCAGGACACTGTTGAGATAGTAAAGTACGTTATTGTCTAACATTTTGAACAGCTTTCAGTATCCTCTAAAAATCATACCTAACATTAAATACTAAGACAAGAATATTATAACCATTCATTTTGTTTCTTCGGGTTATGTACTGTCGTAGGTTGGAGCAGTAGGTAGAATGTGTTAGGAAGGGGACCTTCTGAATCTACTCTGCGTGACATCTTGTAGTGATGGTCGTGTGTACATGTTTAAGGTCTTAAGTCCCTTCTGTAGAGATATGCCTCACACGCTTCGGTGCTGGGACTGAATCTTGTAATCCAGCAGTTTAGGGAATTACTATGAAATTCCTAGGGTGAATATTTCTTTTAAAAATGAGCACCAAGCCAAAATTGGTAGGAAGCGACTCAAGATTTTATCACAAGTACATAGACTTTCATCAAGTGGAGAGAATTAAAAGTGGTCTAGCATCAGAAAATGAGAAATATCTGGAAACCAAGCTTTGCTGAAGGGGTGCCCATGCACTTTGGGTGAGCCTCCAGTATAGTATATCCTTGAAATAATGCAAAGAGTTGTTTTGAAATCCTCATGCCTGTGACTACCATAAAATTTTTCTTTCATAAAATGCATTTAGTGTGATAATGAGTGGTGAACAGCAAAACCACTTTGAGTGCTGGACAGTAGATAAGACTCATTGATTTGCTAAAAGATTCTCTTCTATCCACCATTCCCAGAGTGTTTGATTTGCATTCATATCTCAGAAAATACTTTTTGTGATAGATGTACACCTTAGCATTCTTATTTTCAAGTAGAATGTTAAATCTGTTAAAATATGTGTAACCAAGCTTTACTTGAGGGGTGTTTTTAATGAAAGCAGGCCTTTCCAATCTATTGGCCTGTCAGTTTGAGGAGCAGTGAAGTAGACGTGGGGAAACTCCAGCTGATTGTCCACCAGGTTGGAATTCAAGTGCTGGCATTGCCTTGGGAATGTCCCCCATGGTACAAGGTTTGTTTTGTTTTGTTTTGTTTTTGCATAACATCTACCAAGGCAGTGAATACCACACTTAAGAGATAATCTGTTCCCAAGAGAGTGATTTCTACTCATCCAATTCACAGTGGTTGTGTGGACAGATTAGAAAGTTAATTTATTAATTTGTAGTGAGAACTGTAACTCTTATGGATCAAAATAACTAGGTTTGTATGACAGTGTAGAAAACCAGGATGCTAAATTATAACTGAAATATTTCTTAAGGAATGTGGATCATACTCTGTGATCCTGGTACATCCATCTTGGGATGTTACCTGACAGAACAGCTGAGGTTTATGCAATCAAATGCTTCCTCTTTCAACAGTGCTATATAAACCTTCCTAAATGCTTGTTTTTTATACTTCTTTTTGTCAGATGCTGTGCAATGAGCCATCGTTAAACCCAGATACAATCTAATTACTTCCGTCTTTTTGTGTGTGATTACATTCTACTCTTTTCTTCCTAGGGTTACACCCAGGTCACCCTGATTGGATCTCACATATTGCTAAACCTTTGTCACACATGGACAGGCAGTTTCTTTCATTATTTCAGTTTTACAGATGCCTAAATCTGATTACAGTTTCATTCTCAAAAATAACCTTGACCCCAGTTTTTTGAGTTACCTCACTGTCATCCTTACTACAGCATTCACAATCTGTTTCATTTACTGTCTAGTTTTAGCATAAGCTCTCTGTTGATAGTAGCGTTTTTGTTACAGATAACCAAGAAGAGGAGGATGAAGGCTTGGGAGTTGATCTCTCTTTCATTGGCTCTCACGCTTTTGCTCGAATGGAAGGAGATATTGACAAGCAAAGAAAACTGATCCTTCAGGGACAATTATCAGAGGCAGCTCTGCAGAAGCAGCATCAAAGAAAGTAAGACAGCCCTTCAGGACTGTTAGATACATAAGGACATCAGAAGCAGGAACGGGACCTTACATCTGATGCATGAGCTACGTGTATACATAATGCATTCCAATGTATTTTTCATGACAATCAGTGAGGAAGAGATCGTCCTCACTTTGGAGGTGCAAAAACTCAAAGTTAAGAAAGCTATCAGTGGCCACAGTTAATATGTGGTGAAACCAGTGTTCAGATACATGTCTGATTTCGGAGCTCCTACCCTGTCTACTATAATTGTAGTGCCTCCATAATACAGGTTTATATTCTAAAAGGAGAAATTAGGAAAAGGGAAAGGGAGTTATAAAGCTTTTATTTAGCTCTACTATGTTTATAATTAAAGCATAATCTACAGTTTAATTAAATTTAAAAGAGCTTTATTTCTCCCTGACTTATCCCAAGGACTTTATAAGACATCCAAACCATTCCATTTCTTCCATATGTCTTCTAAAGCAATTTTGAATAAATCCTTTTAAAAACATAGAAGCAGCTTTGTACTTTTGGGTAAGCTTTCCTAAAGATCCAGTCTTTGTAAAGCTAGCTGCTTTTAAAAAAAGTCTAAAGAAAATTAAAAAAAAAAAAAACTGTAAATGTCTACTATCCATTACCTTATAGGGTTGATTGAGGGTTAGCACCTCATAGGGTTTTTGTGAGCATTAAATGAGGTAGTGTAATGAGCTTTAGCACAGAACCTGGTACTTGTCAAGCTCTTAAAATTGTTCACTGTTGTACTGAGCAAATCATGGCTTGTTTTATCTTTGAACTTTGGTACTTGCCATTCCTTTTGAATGGGCTACTCTCATCCTTCAATTTCTATCCAGATTTCAAAAGCAATTGCCTCTGGAGAACTACCTCCAAAGTCTGGAATAGATGCCACCTCCTGTATGCTTTTTTTCCTACCCTGTTCTCACCCAAAGCATAGCATAGCATTTTTCACGCTGTATTATAATGATGTCTCCATGCTCTCTGTCTCCACTGATAAAGTGGGAGTTGGACTACATGATCTCTCGAGTCCCTTACAGAATTAGTATTTTGTGTCTCCTCAATCTCAGGTCTTCCTTTATTCTGATTTTAATTTAAAAAACAAAAGCATATGAGCCACTAGGGGGCACCAAGGAACAGCTTTTCCAAGTGAAGTAGTCACAGTCAAATGATACTTTCAGTGGTTTCTAAACTTGGCCATATGTTTAAGATTCATCTGATAGACATTTTTCATTAAATGCGGTGCCTGGTCTCCTCACATTACTGGGATCTGGGACTTCTTTAGTATCGAGTCTCTTTTGCACTCAGAAATTGTTGAAGACCCTAGAGAGCTTTTGTTTTTATGGGTTATATCTATCAATATTTATCACATGAGAAATTATTTATTTTAAAATAACTGTTTTTTAATTTAATGAGAAAGATAGTGTTTTTTTTTTTAGTCTTGCAAATTGTTTAATGTTTGACTTAATCGAAGACAGCCGGATTCTTATATCAGAATTCAAACTGCTGCAATAAGTTGTTTTGACTAATGTATATGAAGAAAATCTGACCTCACTGAGATTATAATTGGAAAATAGAGGAGTATTTTAATAGCCTTTTAAAATAATTGGAATATTCTTTGATACCATACCACAATTTGATAAACAGTAGTGTTTTAAAATATAGTTGTAATGCAGAATCTCAAACTGTATCCATGAATTTTTGAATTCTATTATATTAAAATGTGTTGTTCTGTACTTTGAACAGATTTTATAATAGGAATGTATAGCATGGCTTTATAACATGATACATTAGCTTTTTGCAAAGTATCGATTCATTGAATTATTCAGAGCTCCAAATATTGACACATTTCATTACACAGTATCAAAAAATTATATTTGTTAGTATCAATTGTACAGTATCACCAATCTCATCAGAAAAGTATTTAATATTAGGAACTGCCAAGCTTCTGATGACAATAAAAATGTTTCAAATATATATATATTTAAAGCTTTAAAGCTCGAGTTTTATCGTTGGCAACAAATACTGTTGGTTATTTTTCTTGAAATGTCAGGGTCACTTTATTCATTTTTGGGAAAACACCTGCCAAATATTCATGTTGAATAACTATAGTTTACCAGTCATTCTTTGAAGTAAAAATGGTGCTGCATGAAAAAAAGCAACTAGTCCAGCTCACAACTCAATCACATAGCGACTTTCTAAAAGGCAGCCTCACACTTCAATATGCAAAAGTGCTTTATGTGTTCTTCCCATTTTGTCTTGCATTAATTTAAAAAGATGAGGTCTCAAGAACTGATTTAATAAAATTAATAATCTTTACTTCTCCATCGAAGGCATTCTTAAATGCAGCTGGCCTTTTTTGTTTATTGGTGCCACTGCCTTGATTTGTGGTAAGGCTATTACCAGCTGTTTTTACCCATCAGTTGCTTTTGCACTATCAATGTAAATGTTCATGCATTGAAAAACTCTAACAATGTTATTGCAAAAATAGTTTTGATCTTACAACCTCCTAAAGGCACGCCAGGATCTCTTTAGGAGTCTACAGACTACACTTTGAAAATCACTGGTCTGTGATCTCTCACCAGTACTTTATAGTTAGAAGGAATTTTGATGATCATTTGTTAATAGTTTTCCAAAAGGGGGTCCACAGTCTATCAGCATTAGAATCACTAAGAGTGCTTGTTAAAAATCTGTGCCCCACACCAAACTTCCTATATCAAACTTCCTGTCCTCCATGGAAAGGACTCAGAAATCTTCTTTCTAAAGTTTCTTAGATGATCCTTTTGGGCCCTAAATCACTGACCTAGTGTGACTCCTTTATGTTACATGAAGTAAATTGATCCCACGGAGTGGCTTGCCCACAGTTACAGCTACTTAAGGAAGATCCTTCAACGTTGCCTCTATAGCATATCTCCCTTCTCTACTCACCTTCAACCCACTTACACAAGCCAACGTTAGAGCAGTTGGAAAAGGACTAGAGACTTTTTATATTCACATACAAAGAACCACATAATTATCACCTTTCTCAAATCAGTCAACCTGTTCTCTTCTGTCCATTTTCTCTTTCTCTCTCTCCCTCTCTCTCTCGCTCACACACACACACAAATACACACAAACTTAGTACATACCTAACTCATTTTTCCATGAAATGGTACAGATATCTGGAAGTTTTAAGTTTATCTTTGGGCTGGTTGCTGGTTTTGTTGTTGTTGTTGTTGTTGTTTTTCTAAGTGAGTTGATTAGTTTTACTTAGTAACTTAGTTTAAGCCAGTATTAAAATACATTTATATTCACTGATCCCACACTTTCTGGAAAGGAGTCCTATAGCATGTAAAGCATTATCCTTTGTATTGGTAGAGGACCTTGATCTTGAGAGTCACATTTGTAACACAGTTGACTTTTTCCATTTTGTTTAGGAGAAAATGAACACTTATTCTACAAGAAAATATTCTAGTTGCAAGTACACAGAGATAAAGTACTCCCCATCTTCTGGAAGTCCATGAATGAGCCACACTACCTTGAGATGTCAGAGGTATTGAGACAGAAGTTCAGAACTGCAGTCAGGTTGTGTGTGTGAAGTCAACACATAGTTGCAGGCTTGGAGAAGAGCATAACCTATGGCTCCCAAAGCTATTTGCTTGAGTAAGGAGCTATGTCTGACCAAAAGATTTTTCTGATTTCCCATTTATGTGCCCAATGTCTGTGATGATTGAAGATGAGGTCTTCTCTTGTATCTGTAAAGCAGACTACTTCAGAGTGATGTTAAAAACTTTAGAAAAAATAAACTTAATGGAGTTTATTTGAGCAAAGTAGTATTCATGAATCAGACAGCACTCAAAACCAGAAGCAGTTCAGAGAACTTCACTATAGCAGCATGAGCAGCAGACTTTTATAGGCTGATTGCAGAAGCGAAGTAGAGAAATTACTTGATTGGCTACAGCTAGGCATTTGCCTTATTTGGGTATGATCCAGCTAGTTTGCCATTTGTGATTGGCTGAAACTCAGTTTAGTTGCTTTTTGTTTGTTTGTTTCTAAAATTAATCAGTTACAAGGGATTCTTCTAAGTTAAGTTGTGATATGGTTATGTAAGGGTTCCTGGTACAGAAACAACCCTAAGCTAATTGGTCTCTTGGTATTTTGTTTTAACAGTGATAACCAGTTCTCAAAAGTGTGGTCCAGGGAGGAACCTGATACTCTGTTTTCTTCTTAAAAGTGTGATCCAGGGAACCTGATAAACTATTTTTATAATGTGGCCAGGCGTGGTGGCTCATGCCTGTAATTCCAGCACATTGGGAGGCCAAGGAGGTTAGATTGCTTGAGTGCAGTTCATGAAACCCTGTCTCTTAAGAAAAAAAAAAATGGCCAGACATGGTGGCGCATGCCTCTGTTCCCAACTACGCAGGAGGCTGAGGAGCCCAGGAGGTGGTGGAGGTTGCAGTGAGCTGTGATCACACACTGTACTCCTGCCTGGGCGAAAGAGAGAGACCTTGTCTCAAAAAAACAAAAAGAAAAGAAAAAATCATAAGGTTACTGAGACGTATTTTTCTTTTTCATTCACATTCTCTCACAGTGTTCAATGGAGTTTTCTGGAGGCCACTCAGTATGTGATATTGCAGTAATTTAAATGCAAACGCACATATGAGAATCTAGCAGAAATTAAAGAGATTTGCAAGTTAAAAAATACAACTCTTTTCTCTAAATACAACTTTTTTAAAAAAGTTATGTTCACAAAATAGGTTTTTCATTGTTTTTAAATTAATGAATATTTTTAAAATTTCTCTTTTTATTTCTAATGTGAGAACTGGTAGATATAAATGACACAAACAAAAGATGTATAAGGTCCTCAATAATTTATAAAAACATAAAAATATCTGTGTTTTATATAGATATATTTTGGTCCTGAGACCAAAAAGTTTTTGATGGCTGTTTGTTGAGGAGTTTGTGATATAACTAAGCTATGTAGTCATCTGTTTGCATGCTCAGCCGTATTTGAG